CTCCACTGAACCTCCTATGGACCTCCTATGGACCTCCACTGAACCTCCTATGGACCTCCTATGGACCTCCACTGAACCTCCTATGGACCTCCTATGGACCTCCACTGGACCTCCTATGGACCTCCTATGGACCTCCACTGGACCTCCTATGGACCTCCTATGGACCTCCACTGGACCTCCTATGGACCTCCTATGGACCTCCTATGGACCTCCTCTGGACCTCCTGTAGATCTTCTCTGCAGATCTCCTCCCTTACGCCCTACATGTGTCCTTGGGCAGGATGCTTCACTCACCTTGCCTGCTGATGGCCCCATGGCCCTTGTGAATATCAGCTTGGTTCTGTCGGCGTGCCCCAGGGCAGCAGCGGCTACCATGTAGCTCGCCACAATCTGGGGTGACCGACTGAAGGTAGCAGGAAGCTCTCTGGGTCTGAGAGGAGTTCAGGAACGATGCAGCTGTGTACCGGTTCTACAGCAGGACTGAGGATGAGAACCTGATCCTGTGGTCCTGGTTTTGCTTTTTGGCACAAGCTGCTGCAGCAAAGATCTCTGGGTAGGACCTGGAACATCTGGATCGTCTGGATGGAGGATGGTGGCCTCCATCATGGGTTGTTCCTTTCCCTCTGGGTGGGGCCATGACCCCGGCTGGTACCAGCTTCATTAACACTCGTTTTATTCACTTTGCTAAATTTTTGGTCTAAAGTGTTCAAACCATATCTGCCACTACCATAAAGGTCCAGTAGGGGGAGCAGTAAATGAGAGGTGGGAGGAGTCCAGACCAAGCACCAGAATCACTGGTATTAGAGCCAGAACTGATAATTAGCTGGTGTTGACCCGTGTCACGCTTTAGTATGGGTCCAGAACTCACCTGGGTTTTCCAGAACTTTGCATCATTTGGACGGGATCACGTTTCAAAATGAGGCAATAATCTGTTTTTCTTTTACTTTCATTTTCAACCTTTACAGGAACCATTTCCAACAGAGACCCAATAGCAACAAATACCGGGTCAGAACTGGCCAGAACCTGTTTGCCTGGTTTTCCTAACTTCTCATTTCTTCTCTTTCAGAAACAGATCTATGGTGAAAACATAAAAAGAGGAAGCAGCCGTGGTTTCTGGACATCTGACCCGTTGGAACTCGGCCCAGTCTGAATGTACTGGATCACAGTTCAGACGGGTCGCTGTGTCAGAGCCTGAAAGTACCGCTTGTCGTCTTTCTGCCTCCGTCTCACTCCCACTTCTTCTTCTGCTGCTGCACTTAGCTCAGACAGGAAGTTTGTGGCAGCTGTGATGCGTGCACTTCCTGTTTCAGCCTGGTTTCTATTTGTGTTCTCTCTGTGTTCTCACTGTCTTAGACACAGCTACTAACAGAACCAGACTGGACCTGGCACCACCTGGGCCAGCCTGATCCACTTACTGCCAGCACTGCAGAACCACAACCCATCTGATCAGTTCCACAGCCTCATGTGACCAAAAACAGGAACTTGATTTTTAATTAGACCAGCGCCAGATGATGGAGAAACCTCCAGGCAGGTCCGATTCAGTCTGGATTGTACAGAACACCTGGACTGGACCGGCCCAGTCCACCCGATTCATGCTGAAGTAGAACCGGCCCAAACTAGATCAGCTGCTGCAGATTTGACCGTACAGACTGACCGGCACCAATTCAGTTA